AATCATTGTGAATTGGTCACGCGTCATAATTTGGTGGTCACGTATCTGATAAATACACTAATAAGAACATAATAAAACAAAGGTTGTTTATATATATATATCTGCCAAGTGCTCCCATTTTCAGGCGAGTATTGCATTTTAAATAAATTGTATTCTGAGAATATATCTATACTGATTTTGTTGTCGGAATATTTAAGATACACGTTTCAGATGGAATTTATTTTATTATAAATAATGACGACAAATCCCTTATTAGATCGATGACAGAGCCCGTTAACAAAATTAGCTTTATATGTCCATGGGCGTTGGAAACAGCTTGGAATACATTTTATTCACAAACACTCAGCTTTTGCCATTTTGATTATGAAAGCGAGACTGGCTAGCTTTGCAGCTATACTTTGCACTCAGGTCCTGTTCAGCTTGCAGCTGGAAATATGTACTATTATTGGATCATAATTGTCAATAACTAAGCTAGTGTTTAAAACAAATCCACATCAAGCTGTCTCCCACTTGTAACTATAAGGTTCATTTGGTTAACGCTGTAGTATCCTTAGATAAGGATATTTAGACAAGTAGCTATTCGAAATCCTTAAATAGTCGATAATTCGAACGATTCTATTGGCACGAATGAGCTGAAAGATATAAAGGGAAAATCTGGAGAGACCGAACTAGGTGTATGATATAAAACACGAGTCTTTATTTAAAGTTTAAAAATATTCACCATACTCCACAAATTAAAATGAACACGAAATATGAAAAATTAAAATGAAGTTATGTAAGGGAAGCATAGATAAGAGAACTATTAAAGTTTGAAGTTGAAACAAATGCTTGTTTGGCTAGATTATATAAACGAAGCAGAGTACTAGAGAAGAAACACGTGTCTTTGGTGTGGTACTAGAGAAGAAACGTGTGTCTTTGGTGTGGTACTAAAGAAGAACCATGTGTCTTTGGTGTGGTAGTAAAGAAGAGATATTTGTCTTTGGTGTGGTACTAAAGAAGAAATACTTGTCCTTGGTGTGGTACTAGAGAAGAAATACTTGTCTTTGGTGTTGTACTAGAGAAGAAACGTGTGTCTTTGGTGTGGTAGTAAAGAAGAAATACTTGTCTTTGGTGGGAAATAAAAAAGGAAATAGACACAGAATCAAACTTTTAAAAATGCAAACAGACAAAAGCGGTACAATATTAAAGATATACAATTCTCAATCCTCATAAAACAGGGCAATAAAGGAGTGAAGCAAAGAATGAGATAGAAAACACAATTTTCGGAAGATATCTTTAACTTTCATATCACAAGTGCGGGAAGTAGACCGGATATTAGTATATCCATGTTATAGGAGTGCGGAATTATGATGTGATGTCCCAATACATTCCCTGTTATTGATTTTGCCGAGCTGATAACTTGAAACTGTTGTAAAATACGGGCAAATATGTCTCATACTTCCAAGTGTACTAACACAAGTCGAATAAAACCTGATAGCTGAATCTAGCAGCAAACGTTGATTACCTCAAACTCCATAGAGTATTTAGGTGTGTATATGTGCAAGAAAAACTACTCCAAAGGTTTTTTTTTATGTCACAAATATTAATATGGTATATATTGGATTTGAGCTCTTTAAACAACAAATAAAGTTTGTGCAAATTTTAAATTAATGCAGTTTTGAGTAAACCATAAAAATAATTAACTGAATAAGCAAGGTTATCATTTAATCAATTAAACCTAATATTTCAAAATACAAACTAAGCTAAATAACTCATACAAGTGTTTAGATGTTATTCTGCATGGAGTAATAATGGCTGGAGACGGCTTGAATGGGTAATGAAGAAAAACTTTAATAT